TTTGAGCCTAAAATGAAGGTCAAGTTTTAGAGACAGACATTTGGCTCTGCAGTGAAAACCTTTGTTAAGATGCCTGCATTCCATATCAGTGAGCCTAACTTTAACTTCTGGCTCCACTGCCAGTACTAGCTTCCTGCTAATGCATGCCTTAAGAAAGAAGGTGATGGCCCAAGCCGTCAGCCCTGCCACCCCTGTGGGAGATTCTCATAGGGTTCCTGATCCCTGCATTCAGCTGGCCCAGCCCAGTGCGTGCTGTCTCTCTCTATGTTTTTCCTGCTCTCAAGTAAATAAATATTTTTAAAGCATTTCATGTAATACTCAAAATGGAGTAAAAATTGTTATTAAATTGTTGCAACAGTGAAAAGCTATTATATTTTACTGTATTTAGATATCTATATTTACTTACATGAGTATCAATTTTATTATTACTCTTAAATGAGTGTTAATATAGTTATTTTTAGTGTTCTGATGTCCTAGTCAGATTCTATTTTTAAGTTAAAAAAAAAACAAAAAGATTTATCAGAGCCTATGAGGCAGCATCACATAATGCAATGCAATCAATAAAAAAATAACATATATATATATAAAAGACTTGTCAGGAAAACATCCTACTCTGAATTCTCAATAAAATAAAGTCTCCAAGATTTTTTCCCAATCTGCCTTTTTCAGTACTCAATCTTTAATCCAGCAAAATTGAACTTCTAAACATCCTCTGAAAATAAGCCACATTTTCCCAAAGTTTTGTTCCTCTACTTGAGTCTTGAGAGCCTCCACTGAGACGCTCTTCTCTCCATTTCTACCTGTTTAAATATCAAGCGCAACTTCACACATGAGCATTCTGATAATTCTTTTGGATGAATTCATTTCTTCTCTCTCAAGACTCTTGTGTCATTGTGTACCTCTTATACCAACAATTGGTTGCTTTACTTATATTGATACTTTAATTCTAGCTCATTCCTTTTGTCTATTGAAGTCATTCATTTTAACTGGTGTAAGTGTTTATTACTCCACAGTCTATGCATTCTTCTCCTTGCAACTTGCTGCTGGTTGGAGATGGAACATATCTGGAAGTGAGCTCTGGCGCAGTGTGAAAAGCTTTTCTAGGATGTCTTCCTGTGAATCATCTTCTTGATAGGGGAATGTTAGATTATCCACATCTCAACTTTACCCATCACGCCTATGGCTCTCTCTGAGCACTGAAGGTGAGGCCTGTGAATAAGAGAAAAAAAAGTCCCTGCTCTCACAGAACTTGTCTTCCAGTGTTAGCAGAAGGAACGCAAGCCAACTGTGCATATGTATTTTTTTGAAAGATTTATGTATTGATTTTACAGGCATAGTTACAGAGAGGAGTAAGAGGAGAGCTCATTCTACCTGCTGGTTCACTACCCAAATGGCTCTGATAGCCAGAGTTGGGCCAGACCAAAGCCAGGAGCCAGGAGTTCCTTCTGGGTCTCCCTTGTTTTGTTTTAAGATTTATTTATTTATTTTTATTGCACAGTCAGATATACAGAGAGGAGGAGAGAAAGATCTTTGGTCCAGTGATTCACTCCCCAAGTGACTGCAACAGCCAGTGCTGCGCTGATCCAAAGTCAGGAGCCAGGAGTTTCTTCCAGGTCTCCCACGCAGGTGCAGGATCCCAAGGCTTTGGGCCATCCTGGATTGCTTTCCCAGTCCACAAGCAGGGAGCTGGGAGGGAAGTGGGGCCGCCAGGATTAGAGCCAGTATCCATATAGGATTCTGGCACGTTTAAGAAGTTTCGGTGCTAGGCCACCGCGCCAGGTCCTGGGTCTTCCTTGTGAGTGCAGGGGCCTAAGGACTTGGGCCATGCTTTACTGATTTGTCCCAGGTCACTAACAGGGAGCAGGATTGGAAGTGGAGTAGCCAGGACTTGAAGCAGCACACACATGGAATGCTGGCATCCCAAGTAGTGTCTTAACACACTGCACTACAGAGTTGACTTTCTCAGAAATAATTTAAAATTTCAAATGTGTAATTTTACTAATTTTTTTCTTTTGAGAATATGGTTTATGTGGTTGTCTAGGCACAGACTATGGCCTACTACTTCCAAAGGCATAGGCCATTGTGTCTTTCTGTTCTATAATCATAATACCTGGCTTCCATCACACACTTTTCTTCTTTTAAGTTTCATTGTTTCTCAGGATCAGTGCAGTGGCTCAACAGGCTAGTCCTCTACCTTGCAGTACCGGCAACCCATATGGGAGCAGTTCATGTCCCAGCTGCTCTTCTTCCCATCCAGCTTGCTACTTCTGGTCTGGGAGGGCAGTAGAGGATGGCCCAAAGCTTTAGGCATCTCCACCCATGTGGAGAAGACAGAAGAAGCTCCTGGCTTCAGATTGGCTCAACTTTAGCCATTTATGGTCATTTGGGAAATGAATCAGCAAATGGAAAATCTCTCTCTCTCTCTCTCTCTCTTTCTGTAAATCTGCTTTTCAAGTAAAAATAAATAAATCTTAAAATAAAAGGTTTATAAAGTCATTCAATTTCTGGTAAACCAGTCTGCAAGTAACAGCTCTAAGGTACATGATATTATTTAAATATGTCATGTAACAAAAGATAACCCAAAGTCAATGATCCCATGTTTTAGAATGAGTCATTTTCATGAGCTTTATTTCCCCAGAATTCAGAAGTCAGAGTGGAATTGTGCATGGGAAATCTGGATCCTATTCTGTTCTTCAACTCTGAACCTGGAAGGCTGACATCAACCTCGGGCATTTAGGAGGAATATTTGTTGAATTAAAGAATGCATAATTAGAAAAGAGTAGCCAATATAATCATAGAAAATAATGCATAATGAGAAAAGAATAACTCTTGGCGTGCTAATCTTACAAGTCCCACACTAGAAATGGATGGCAAATGTCACAAGCAGTAATTCAATACTCTGTCTAAGCAGATTGGAACTAAGACAAGGCAGGCTTCCATCACAAGCACAAGCTTTGTGGACTATGTGTTCTTAGGAAAAACAATTTAAGAACATTAAGTTCTAAGCAATAACATTTTGAGAAACTCTCAGATGTATATAATCTCAAGTTTTCTGTCTGCCCTGTCACACATGCTGTCTATTGTTGACAGCATAAGCAGTGTCTGTCTGCTGAGGACAGCAGCCACTGCATGCCAGATATTAGTCACAACACCAATCAGGAGCAGTGAGCCAAAGGCACATGCGTACTGGTGAGGAAGGTGCTGATGCTCTGCGTGGATGATTTGCATTGCACTTTGTGCATGGTGCTTGACTGCCCCTGATCTGCACCCTTCGAACCTTTCTCTAGCCAAGTCAACATGCCTTGGGTAGGGTAGCCCATGACTATTCCCAAAGAGCAGTGATGGTTTTGTGGATTCCTGGTCATACTTTGTCTGTGATGGGAGAACACTGGGGTGTGTGCCTGGGCCTCCCAAAGACGTTTTAGTCCAAGCCCTATCCCTTTCCCGACGTAATTTTTGAAATAGCCTAGATCTCTGGCGACAGTCCCTCTTTGACCACAGTCCCTCTGTTGAACTTCTCCATAGAAGCTCTGAGATGCTGCTTCACCCTTTCCCTTCTGCACACTAACCCCCCATTTCCTCTCTGCTGTGTGCTAGCTCTGCTTGGCTCTTCTCAGTAAAGTGGCTAAAGAGTAATCAACCCAAAATACCTAAGAAGCAAATGAGTCACCACACTTTCACGACACAGCTCTGATGATCAACGGATGTGTTGGGGGTAAACAGCAAGAGGAGGTGGCTGCCCAGAGTCAGAGAGAGAGAGAGAAATAGAAGCCAAATGAACAAGTTGGCAGAGGTGGCTGACAGCAGCTGAGTGGGTGGAAGGGTGGGGAACTTGGTCGACTTCTGAAGGTGAGATCAGTGCCTCGGCTTGTCACACCCTGGCTGACTCAGGCTAAGCCAGGCCCCTCGGGAGCTACGAACACTGGGCCGCCTCGCAGAACTCAGCTGGACTAGTCACTGACTGTTGTCCTCTTTTGTTTACAAGCTCTGAGTCCTAGAGCTTAGAATTCTTTGTTCAAGTGATTGCAGAGCAGCTAATCAGGAGCCTGGGACGATAGCGCTCCAGGGCCATTCTCTTCCTGGTTACGTGTATCTGAGTAGATACAAGAGCCAGGGCAGAATTGAAACTTTTTCTTTGTGCTTTTCTATTTCTAGAATGCCTGCCTTGTTTTCCCAAAACTTTATCTTGAATTATAATAGTGGAACTAGCTAACTTCTCCAAACCCCTCTCCAACCACTACCACTGCCAAAATCACAGGCAACCTTAGCGGTAACCATGAACAACCTGTGACCCTGCTAAGATCCCAGGAGACCAGCCCATCAGTCATTTGTTCTAGTTGCTTTGGAAATGACTCCTATTATCTGCACTTTTCTAAGTAAGAAAGGAGTGGAATCATCCTAGTCCTTGGAATACACTTGCTGGGCTAATTTTGTAGGGATCTGCCTACACAATCCAGGGTTCTTCTCTAAGACTTTAAAGCTATAACAAGAGATCAGAGAGATAAATCATCCATGCATTCAAGGAATAAGGGTTAAGATGCATCCAGGTGTGTTAATGTGACAGGACTACCAGGAGAATCTTCTGGGAAAAAAAAGAAAGAAATTATCCCGAGACAGGCTGTTTTGGATCCCAGTGATGACAGGACAGGACCCCAAACTGTCTGGTTCTTTCTTAGATCCAAACCAAGAAGTTTAGGGATGTGCTTCAACACAGAATGAAACAAAACCAGTTGATTTGAATTCTCAAGCCTCCAGCCTGTTCTGCTTCACTCCACCCTGCTGGCTGACCCTGCCATGGGGGCTGGGTTTAGCCTTGGGTTTTATCTACTGCAGGCTCCCCACCCCTAGCCCACATAAGCAGAAAACCAGATGCCATGACTTGGAAAGCGCAAAGCTTGACTGCAAGTGAAAGAGGCTTTGGCAGCTAATCAGAAAAACCAGATTCACACCTAGATAAAGGTGAACTCTTTAATCCCCATTGAGTTCCCTCCAAGCACTACCTCTGTTGGCTTCCACTGCTGTTCAGCTGGCTCTGCAGGTAAATACTGGAAAATCCTTTCTGGAGTGATTCATGAAAATCATCTCAGGGAAGTCTATATCCTTGACTTCAGAAGACATCATTTCAAACTGCTTTTGGAGACTATATAAACAATACATACTTGTTATAAAAATAAAATCAGAAACAAAAAAATTAGCCATAGTTTCAGCCCTCAGCTGTTGACTACTTTAGGGCATTTCTTTCCTGTAATTTTATGGACATTGTTTAATTATTTTTTTAAAAAGATTTATTTATTTAAAAGGCAGAGTTACAAATTGAGAGAAAGAGATCATCAATCCACTGGTTCACTTCCCAAATGGCTGCAACAGCCAGGACGTGGCCAAACCAAACGAGAAGCCAGGAACTCCACTGGAGTCTCCTACATGGGTGGCAGGGCTCAAGTACTTGAGTGATCTTCTGCTGCTTTTCCAAGTGCAAAGCAGAAAGCTAGATCAAAAGTGGAGTGGCTAGGACTATAATCAAGACTCCAATATGGATCTCATTGACAAGGGCAAGACTTAACCTACTGTAACGGCTGCCTATTAATCCATAGAATTAATCAATCCCATGTTTGGAGCAGTATGTTTGTTTCCAGCCTTTAAAACCATATCTTTATTTCATTAACATTCACTGCTCGGAGATTTTTGCACCAGCCCCACTACTCAACCATGTGACAAACCCTACCAATATCTGAATCAAAATGAAGATCTTGGGAGAAACATACTGGACAGTCAGAGGGAGCTGCCACTGTACACTCCTTGGGGGGAATTTAGCCTCTCTTGTGCTGTGAGAAAAATAGCTGGAGTTCTAGCTCAAGGGCCAAGGATGTATTGTTTGAGGCAATGTCAGCAGCCTTCTCCGATGTGACCCATGAATCTCAACTTCAGTACATTTCCAATCACCTGGAAGAAAAGAGATCATATTTCCTGTGAGCAGGAATGAGTAAAGTGGCCTGCAATGTGGAGAAGCAGATTAGGCCAACACCTTCAATACCTGTATCCCATTTGGGTACCAGTTTCTGGTCTGGTTTGTCCACTCTCAATCCAGCTAATGGCCTGGGAAAAGCAGCAAGAAAAAAGCAGAAGACCAAGTACTTTTGCCCTGTCAGCCATGTAAAAGACCTGGAAGAAACTCCTGATTCCTAGCTTTTGCCTTTATCAGCCCTGAATGTTGGTCCATTTGCAAATGAACCAACATGTGGAGAACCTGTCTCTCTCTCTCTCTCTGTCTCTCTCCCTCTCTTTCACTCTTTTAAATGAATAAAGAAAATCTTTTTTTTTTTTAAGAATAAAGCAAAGAAAAGGGACAATACATGGCAAACTGAAAATCTTTTATTTGAAAATTCATTTATCTTATTTATTATTTTAAATATTTTCTTTTTATTGGAAAGGCAGATTTTACAGAGAGAAGTAGAGACAGAGAAAAAAACAAAAAAGATCTTCCATCCACTGGCTTACTCACCAAGTGGCCTCAACAGTCAGAGCTAAGCTGATCTGAAGCCAGGAGCTTCTTTCAGTCTCTCACAAAAGTGCAGGATCCTAGGGTTTTGGCCCATTCTCTACTACTTTTCTAGGCCATAAGCAGGGAGCTTGATGGGAAGTGGAGCAGCTGGGACACAAACCAGTGCCCATATTGATACTGCTGCATGCAAGGTGAGGATTTAGCCACTAGACTGTCATGCTGGGCCCTACCTTATCTATTTTATAGACAGAAAAACACACCTAAAAAGAGACAGTTTTCTCATCCACTAGTTCATTTCTCAAATGCCTGCAATATCTGGTACTGGTCCATGTCAAAGATGAAAGGGAAGAACTTAATCTTAGTCCTCCACATCAATGTCAGGAACCTAACTAACTGAATCATCATCTTCTACTTCCCAAGATGTACATTAGTAGGAACTGGAATTGGGAACAGAGCCAGGATGCCATCCCACACACTGTGATGGGAACACAGGTGCCCCATCTTAATCACTACCCCAAACATTCTCAAATCTTGTTTTTAAACAGAAAATATCATACTGTTTCTCATTCTGATTTCTTTGAATATCTGTCTGTCTATCTGTCTGTTTAAGCAACAGAAAGAGAGAAAATCCTGCAATCACACTTTCATTCCCAAAATGCTGGAGATTTCTGGGGTCAACGTAAGAGTTGGGAATGCAAACCAGGTCTCCCAACATGGTTGCAGCAGCCTAATAACTGAAGCCCTCTCCAATGCCTCCTAGAGTCTGTCTTAGCCAGAAACGGGAAGCAGAGGTCAGAGCTGGAAATCAAACCCCAGCACTGGGCTGGGGGACTAGATATGTTCATCCCCAGGTTAAATACCTGCCCCACTCTTCTAAGTTCTTTTGGGCTTTCCTGGTTAGGTTATTTTCTGAAGAACAAGGTTTTGAGCTGCAAAGGTAGAGCAGTAGAAGCAGAGAGAAAGAGATCATCAATCCACTGGTTCACTTCCAATGGCTGCAACAGCCAGGACTTGGCCAAACCAAATGAGAAGCCAGGAACTCCATTGGAGTCTCATACTATCTCATCCTGACATCAGTCAGGATGGACACACTCAGCTGTAAATAAAGTTTATCATTTGTCAAATGGCTCAGAGTTGCTTGGTTGAATTCTTGCAAATGCTGATTGCTTTCAAAGCCAAGTCTTGTGTCGCAATGAATACAATTCCTGAGCATACTAAAACAGAATATGCTCTGTCTTTAATTCTTCTTAAGTATGCTTTCTTCCATTTTGCATACAAAGCAATTAAACAGTAGCAAAGTAAAATAAATAAAGAAATAAACAAATAAACAAATAGGTAAATAAATAAGCAAAATAGGTGGTATGGTCATCTAATATTCTGTGTAATGCCAGCATTTTATATGGGTGCCAGTTGGAACCTCCATTGCTCCAATCTAGCTCACTGCTAATGGCCTGGGAAAGTAGTGGAAGATGGCTCAAGTGCTTAGGTCCTTCTATCATGGAGGAAGCTCCTGGTTCCTGGCTTCATATTGGCTGAGCTCTGACTTTTGCAGTCATTTTGGGAGTGAACCAGCAGATGGGAGATTTTTTTTCTCTTTCTCTCTCTCTTTCTCCTTCCATACCTTGCTATGTAACTCTGCTTTATAAGAAATTATAATAAATCCCAGCACCAGGATCCCATATAGTCACTGTTTCATGTCCTATAGGCTCTACTTCCCATCCAGCGCCCTGCTGAGAAAGCAGTAGAGGATGGCTCAAAGCCTTGAAACCCTGCACTTGTGGAAGACGCAGTGGAAGCTTCTGGCTCCTGGCTTTGGATCAGCTCCGCTCCAGCCATTGTGACCGTTGTAGCCTTTTGGGGAGTGAACCAGCAGATGGAAGATCATTCTGTCTCTCCTCTCTCCATATATCTGATCTACCTTTCCAATAATAAATAAATAAATCTTTAAAAAATAAATAACTCACAAGGGACATGGCTAATAGATGTCTGAGTGAAGATTGGACTCTAGGGTTGACTTCAAAACCTGTGATCTGAGCCCAGCACAGTGGCCTAGCCGATAAAGTCCTTGCCTTGAATGCACTGAGATGGGCATCAGTTCTAATCCCGGTTGCTCCACTTCCCTCCCAGCTCCCTGCTTGTGGACTGGGAAAGCAGTCAAGGATGGTCCAAAGCCTTGAGTTCCTGCACCCGCATGAGAAACCCAGAGGAAGTTCCGGGCTCCTGGCTTCGGATCGGCACAGCACTGGCCATTATGGTCACTTGGGGAGTGAATCATCAGACAGAAGAACATCCTCTCTGTCTTTCCTCCTCTCTGTATATCTGACTTTGCAATAAAAATAAATAAAACTTAAAAAAAAAAACCTGTGGTCCTTAAACTACATCACCTTCCCTTCTTGGTTAGACCTAACAGATAAGCAACTTTCAGTAAAAAGTGAGTTAATTTGTATTGATAGAAATGGGGTTGGGGTCAGAGTTATGAAAAACCAAGAAAAGCCACTCTTGCAATGTTAGCATTCCATATATGCACCACTCATGCCCCAGCTGTTCCACTTTCAATCCCAGCACCATACCAATGGGATGGGAAAATTTATAGAAGATGGGCCATGTGTCTGGAACTCCTGCCACCCACATGGGAGATTCAGATGAAACTCCTGGCTTCAGCCTGGTTCAGTGCTGGTCATTGCAGCCATACTGGGAAGTCAACCAGCAGATGGAAAAACTCTTTCTCTGTTTCTTTCCATGTCTCTCCACTGAAGTGCCCTCAGAAATGAAGGCAAGAGATCAGAGATCAGACACGAAGACAAGAGATCAGCTAAGCCAATTATTAATGAGGAGCGCTTTCATAGAGTTCCTAAAGTCCTATAGAGGTTCTGACAATCATAAGGCCACAGAATCACTTCTACCTCCCATTTTCACTAAGACTAGTCCTTGGGACATGTAATATTTGGTGGAAACCGATAATATTACTTCCACAGAAATTCTTAATGATGAAATCCTAAATATCTGTTTTCCCGAAGGCTTGGGTTTGTAATGTCAGGAACCACATCTGTCTGCTTCCCAGCTTTGTTACCACTCCAAGCGCAGTACTTAGTCCACAGTACTTGGAACACCATATCATAGACTGAACAACGGGCAAACAATAGTCATTTATTTCTCTTGATTCTGGAAGCTGGGGACTTCAAGGTCAAAGTCCCATGGAATTCAGTGTCTGGTCAAGACTTGCTTCCTTGGTCACAGGCAGCAGTCTTCACACTGCATCCTTATATGGAAAAGGGGGCAAACAGGTTCTCTGGAATCTGTTTTACTTTTAGATTTTAAAAAAAAATCTATTTGAGAGAGAGAGAACACACTCTTATCCACTGATCACTCCCCAAATCCTGCATTGGCTGGGACTGAGCTGGAGCCAGAAGCCAGTAGCTCAATTTACTGTAGATGGCAGGAATTCTAATTATTTGAGCCATCACTGATGCTTCCCAGGATCTGTACTAGCGGGGAACCAGGGTCACAAGCCAGTGCAAGGCAGTGAATCTTGGAACTTTTGTATTTGATAGAGACATCTCCATCAACATCCTCAGCATTAGGCTAAACGTTCACCCCTAGGGTCTCTTGTATAAAAGCACTAATCCTGTTCATAAAGGCTCAACCTCCCCGCCTTAATTATCTCTCACAGGACCCACCTCCACATAAGATCACATTGAGGACTGGGTCTTAACATGCCAATCTGAGAGACATAAACGTCCAGTCTACGGCATAGACGTACAATAAAGTGTGTCGAATGAATGACTGCAAATAGTATGTGGAGTTCAGAATGACATGCGATCAGTTCCCCTTACACAGATGTACAGAATACATAGTCTGAATTCAGGTGACCAAATCAAGAGGTCAGGGAGTGTGTGTATTCAGTGTCTACTTTTTTAAAAAATTTTCACAAGAATTGATTGGTCATAAACATTTGGCTTTCTGATATAACAAGTGAAGAGCTCCCTGTTTCCGCCTTCCCTTGCAAAATGAAGGGCAGATAAACATTTTCCCCCTTCTCTCTTTCCCTTGATTCCTTAATCAAGTTGGATTTATGCTAGGCTTAGGGAGACAAACCCTCCTACAGAGTATTTACAGCTTCCTGCTTGCTTCCCAAAGGGAAAATTTGGGCTGAAAGTGTGCATTAAGCTCGGTCTTTAAGCAATTAATAATGTGCTCAAGAAATAAAAAGCACGAACATTACAAGTAGATTTTGTCATAATCCTACATCTCCCAAATGTGTAAACTCCGGCAAAGTCCAGATCCCCAGCAGAAACCCATCTGCTGTATTTCCAGTGTGATACTCCTCTGTTTATATTTGCTCATTTCTCTTGCACGGTGCCAGGAGAGAAAAAGTGACATTTTAAAAATTCATCTGCTCATATTTATGCAAACACATTTCTCTCCAAGTGTGGGTTGAGCAGTGTGAGTAAAGCAGACACGCATGCCTTCGACAGGCCACTGAGTAATTGTAATCAAGAGCAGGAGAGAAGCATGCCTAGAACATCTGAAGTTTTTGTCAAAA